ACATACATACATACATACATACATACATACATACATACATACATACATACATACATACATACATACATACATACATACATACATACATACACACATACATACACACCAATACACATAACCTATTTTGTATTTCGACCATGTATTTTATGTAATATGAGAGGCAGAGTGCTGAAATCTCGCGTTCGTCATAATAATGATAGTCGAAAACTGGCATTTTTTTGGGACAGGTTTTGAAACTTTTGTTTCAACACGTTTCATGTCCTTCAAAGAACACATTTCTGTGCGGGTAGTACTGAAAAACGTTGATTAAAGACATAAATGATGTAAATTCTATGTTTCCAAGGACTCTCAAGCTGAGGAAATAACTCAACTTTGGCGGCCATTTTCTTGCAAATTTTACCTCTGAGACCAGGCGACCCGCATACCTCCTTTAAATCTCCAATATCCTGAATTAAATGAATTTTTTTTTCCAAACCAAGACAAATGAATAAGTTTTAAGATGATACCAATGACTCCATATGCCCCAAAATTAAAGAGTGCCTGACTCCACCACGTCGTGACAAATAATGTTATAGTACATTAAACATTCACAAGAATACCAATGCCATGACCTGTTTCCTTTTCCAGGACTGTACCTATTTCACAAGAAAAGACATACTGAGGTAGGAGCCAAGGCTAGTCTTCTTCTATTTCCTTATTCCTCGTTACTATGGATACACAATCATGTAGATAAAATTATTATTGTTATTATTATTATTGTTATTATTATTATTATTATTATTATTATTATTATTATTATCATTATTGTTATTATTATTATTCTATATTACACCATAAGAGGTCTAAACGTTACAGTTCTAAGTCGATGAAGCATGATTTCATTACACGTGAGGTGTGACATTTTTCACTCACATGTCTAATCCCCAGCGGTGCTCCTGTGGTGAATTTTCCATTTACTGCCAATTTAAAGGCTTGGATCAGATGCCGCCCCTCAAACCAGGAACAAGCTACCCTCAACTGTATCTTTATTTTCGGGTGTGTATATCAAAGTAAAAGACAATTGTGTTACGACGTGCTGGAATCGGGCGGTCGTCAATTTTTGAGCTTGTAAATGTATTAGTTTTATCTGAAAGCCTATTTATTGGCTTTCTTTTCAACAAAAAAAATACCCATCTATTTTGAATAGAAGTCAAGATATTTACGATTGAAGGGGGTGAGGCCGCCGGGTTTCACTAGTGAAATTAGCAAGAAAATGGCAAACTAAATTTTTAATAACTCCAATAGCTAAAGAGTCCTGGAAACTGAAAAATAACATAATTTTTGCCTTTGATAAACGTTTTTCAGTAAAATTCACGTAGAAACGTGTTTTTATATGGACATAAAAGGTGTTGAGCCAAAAAACAAAAATTCGATAAAAATTGACAAACTGGCGGAAAATGCCTGTTCCTTCCAATTCATTATTTTGACAAGCGCCTGATTTTACCACGATGCCTCCCAATTACGTCAGCTTCGCTGTCAATCCACTTAAGTCTGTTTATAAACTTTTTACATCAGAGACAGAAAAGTAGTTATTGTTGTGCTGTTCCTATCAGGAATCATGAAATCAAGAACATTGTAAGCCTTGATCATAGCATTAAACTCTATTTTGGTGATGTTGAAAGGTATGTCTTTCGTGGAGCTTTGTGAGGGTGTAGAAAGTTTTCTGTTGTAATCTGAAAATTTCGCCTTAAGAGGATTGCCTGCCAAGGCAACAATAACACGCACGTATATCTGTTGGCAGGGAACGTTTTAAATGTTCGATTTACTAATACTAACAAAAGTAAAGCCACACTCTGCTTTGTAGGGTCTAGATCGCCACTCCCTTTTCTACTCGTAAGATGGTCCCCCTAAAATTTTTTTTACAAAACTATTCTGGTCCTTCTTGTCCCCCTTCTGTTCAAATGCTCTGAGTATTGTAAGCTGCTCTTTTTATATTAGCAAAGTTGCCATCTCTCCCGTTCTTTTTTTGTGGGGGGGGGGGGGGGGGGGGGGGGTTCAAATAATATGCCTGAACGGCAACAGCATTTCAAACACATGCGCGAATTCCTTATTGCATTAAGTTAAAAGATAACAGATCTTACTTTACTTTACTTTTTTCTTCCGCTTGTACCCTGGGGTGTCGCGGGGAGACACAGGTGTCTGTCTGCAGCAAGTCGTGTGGCCTGTAGGAGGGACATCCCATGATCTTTAAGGGTGTCTGCCACAGATTCACTCCATCGTCGCCTTGGTCTTCCTCTGGCTCTCCATCCAGAATATTTAATGCTGTATGCTCTCAGAGCTGGATGGTTTGAGGGCATCCGCGTGAGGTGTCCGAACCACTTGACCTTTTGTTTTCAATGTGTGGTAGGACTGGATAACAGATATAGCGGTGAAAACGTGGGCACAAGGAAGTCATCATCGTTGCCTTTCGCACCCTTGATCAGGATATTGGCTACGAACAAACACTCTCCAGCTAATCGTTTGATGTCACCCCATGTCTTCCCTCTTTTCTGTACATCCATTTCCGTGAGTCTTCTCCAGGTTCCACGTGGTCTTGCCCTTAATTTTTTACCCTGTGGGTTCCAATCTAACACTTTTCTTGTTATGCACCTGCTTGACTTCCTAGAAGTGTGTCCAATCCATCGCCAACGTCTTCTTCCCACCTCATCTCTGACTGGGCTCTGTCTCGTTCTTCTTAATACTTCCTCGTTGGTGATCCTGTCTGTCCATTTGATCCTCAGCAGCTTCCTCAGACACTTGTTTAAGAAAACCTGGATCCTCTTTATGTACGTCTGGGATGCGTTCCACGTCTCAAATCCATACAAGACTGACTTCACATTTGAGTTAAAAATTCCAATTTTTGTTCGTAGTAAAATATCTCTTTGCTGCAGTTGCTGAGATTCCCCTTTTTAGGTCGTTTCACAAGGAGTCTTTCTTTCCAATCCTTTGGGAACTTGCTCTCATTCCAGATTCCGGTAAACAATGGGAGAAGGAGGTCTGCCGTCACATTAGCATCTGTTTTTAGGGCCTGGGGTGGAATCTGATCAGGACTGGCCGCCTTACCGTTGTTCAGCTTAATTGCATCCATAATCTCTTGTTTCGATAGGGCACCACAGCAGATTGGTGGCTTATTTCTTGCAGGCAGGATGTTTGGCGGGTTAGTTGGTGGTGGTCTGTTCAGGAGACTGTTGAAATGCTCTACCCATCGTCTTGACTGAGCTTCGTTTCCAAAAAATGGTTTTTCCCTCGTTGTCCATTACTGTTACTTCTGGTTTCCAATATCTTCCAGAAAGAGTCTTTGTAGTCTGGTAAAGGATTCGTATGTTCCCTCCTGCTGCTGCCTCCTCTGCCCTCTCTGCAAGCCTGTTCATGAATTCCTCCTTGTCTTGTCTTTGTGATCTCTTTGCATCTTTAGCTGTTGTCCTGTACTGCTCCAATGCGTTCGCTTTTAATCCCCTTGTTCTACTTGCAGTTTTCTCTGCTTTCAATTGTCTTCTAATGTTAATCGAATCCAATGACTGTTCGCTAATCCATTCCTTGTGCTCCAATTTCTTCTCACTGAAAATTTCTAGACATATTGAAGTAAAGACTTGTTTTTACCTTTATTAAGTGCATCTCCACCTCCATGTCCTCCTCACCAAGATCCGTCAAGCGTTGAAATCTGTTCCTCTATCGCAGTTGAAACTCCTGTTTCTTGTGTCCATCTAAAAGACTTACTTGGAACCTCGTTCTTTTGATTCCTGTGCTGGTTCCATGCTTTTTGAGACTAAGCTGGAGTTTTGCTAGCAGCAGATAATGATCCGATCCAACGTCTACACCCCTCTCTGTACTTTGACATCTTCCAGTGAACGCCTGAACCTACGCGAGATTAAAAAATGATCGATCTGGTTCTCTGTCACTCCATCCGGTGATACTCAAATAGCCTTGTGGATCCTCATAGGGGAAAAAACAGAGCCTCCGATTACAAGACTTGAAAGCACAGATATTTGTAAATCGCTCACCGTTCTCATTCATTTATCCCAGGCCATGTTGTCCCATGATATCCTCGTAACCTACGTTGTCCTGACCGATCTAGGCATTAGCATCTCCCATTATGATGTTGACATCCTTCCTTGGCAGTTTGTCGATGATCCCCTGGAGCCGACTATAAAAAGCATCCTTGTCATCATCCGAAGCATCGTTTGTTGGGGCGTAGATCAGTACTATGTTCGTGTTGATCCTCTTACTTCTGGTAGTGAAAGAAGCCATGATGATCCTCTCCCCCTGTGGTTCCCATCCTTTAAATGACTTTTGTGCATACTTACTCAAAATAATTCCAACTCCCTCCGCATGGTGCTTGTCTCCCTCCCCCCTCCCCCCAGAATACAATATTTGTTTCCCTGAGCTGAGCTGCTTCTGCCCAGACTGTATCCAGTGGGTTTCGCTGACTCCTAGAATGTGCAGCCTGTATCTCTTCATCTCTTAATTCACTTGAGAATTCTTTCTTGCTTCATACATGGTGCAAACATTCCACGACACAATCCGGAGAGACTTGTTCGACAGAGAAGGTTTCGGGTCAGAAGAGTCCTTTCGGCTTTGTCCGCTGTCCTTCATTGTTCCTGCTGATGCAAAAGCTCCTCCGTCTCCCAAGATGGAAAATTATAAAGCATGTTTGTTCGTGTTTCTATAACTTTCCTTGTTTACTTGGTCGGGTAGTTGGCCATCCGCAAACTGTCACTTTTCGGGGAGCCAGACCTATGCACCTTTAGGCGCCTCTTATGACACGCAGTATCACGGCAGGTGTATTCTTTACTTCCCTATAGTAAAACTATGGGGCCTCCCACCTGCAGGGGCACTAGAAAGTATTCTATAATAATCCTCTAATTATAATTTACAGAACTGGCCACCTATAGCTCTAATAAATGATATTTACTAACTATCGATTTATTATAGGGTGTATTGATGAGAACGGATAACTGCAAATAAATAACAAAACCCAACAGTACACTAGCGATTAGTTTAATATACTTTGGGTAACTGGTGACCGATAAAACCAATGACGGATAACTCCAGTGGACAGTATACTAGCTATCACTTGATTGTATTGTGTCTAGCTGGTAACCGATAACTGTAATAAGAAGTATACCAGTTATCACTTGATTGTATTATGTCTAACTGGTAACCGATAACTGTAATAAGGAGTATACTAGTTATCACTTGATTGTATTATGTCTGACTAACTGGTATACCGATAACTGTAATAAGCAGTATACCAATCACATGATTGTATTGTGTCTAATACGGGGTACTGATTGCGGGATCGGGTCTGTAGCCAGATTGAGGGCGCAAAGCGGATATCGTGGCACAAGCCGATCGTGCCCGACTAGTCGCCTCAAAGACAAACGTGTCTATTTGCAGGCGACGAGTGGGGCGAACGCCCCCGACCCGACCCGATCCCATCCACAATGGGCACCCCATATGACTGGTAACCAATAACTGAAATAAGCAGTATACTAGTCCTTAATTAATTAATTATATTTATAAAGCAACCGATAACTCTAATAAGCGGTATACTATATTATTTATAGTTATCAATCTGTTATACTAATATAGAAACTAATAACTTCAGTAAGAAGTATACACTTTTCCATCTGATTATATGTAGCCTATATCATAATTACATGTAAGTCCAAAACGACATATCATCCACCATAATTGATTATATGATTTTGTCTTTTCAGGGTAACAACATATCAGTCGTCAATGACTGTGAGTTGCCTCACAATTTAGAAAGTATAGATTTCCGAGAAGATTCCCTGACCACAATCGCAGATCACGCCTTCAATTATTCTGCCAAGAGTCTTAAGAGACTCACATTCTGGTCCACTAATCTGACCTCCCTACCGTGGGCCTTGATGGACCTCAGTTCTCTCCAGTACTTGCGTTGGGACAATAGTCATGTCCTCACATGGAACACAACTATTCTGGCGAGCATCGGAGCATCGTTGAAAACTCTAAGTCTGTCAGAACTGACGATGCCAAACTTTCCATCACACTGGCTTAAGTTACTGCCAAAGTTGGAGACCTTTGAGATGTCTGGGGTTGCTTTTGGACACCTGAGAAGTAAGCCACTGGACCCACCAGCCAGTCACATTAAATATCTGACGATCACAAGCTCCAACCTAACAAATATCCCACAAGAAGTCGTGGCTTTAATCACAGATTTGACCAGCCTCAATTTGGAGTCAAATTCAATAAGCGATCTCAGCAGCCTGAAAGATTTAAAAGCCCCTCGCAATGTGTCAGAGTTACGCATGTACAGCAATCACATCCACAATATCGGCCCTCTGTTTAATTTGACTGGTATTGAGCGTCTCGAGATATCTTATAACAGAATATGTGACCACAAGCACATACATCACGCCCTAATACCCAACAAAAACTCTTTGAGATCCCTCGATCTCTCTTCCAACTGCCTTACTCAAATACCTGACCTGCTATATATGTCCGAATTGAAATATTTATATCTGAGTTCCAACAATATTTCAACCCCATCTTCGGGTTCGCTCCCTACGTCACTGATAAACCTTGATCTAGACGAAAACGTTATGACAACTATTCCAGAATCTATATCAAAATTGCCCAATCTGTACAGTCTAGATCTGAGCAATAATAAAATCAAATCTGTGGCAGACTTTGAGTTCCCGTCCTCGCTGGATTATCTAAAGATCTCAGACAACGACCTAGAAGTAATTCCCTTACTACAATTTTCAAACAACATGTCGAAACTAACGGACCTAGATTTATTAGGAAACCCAATCAAAACAATCGCAGACGACGCCTTCAGCAACCTCCATGAGTTGAACAATTTAGACCTGAGCTACACACACCTAGTCCGTTTACCCTCGGCTCTGTTGACACTAAACAAACTAAACTATCTGTCTCTGCCCGACACTCTCACGTGTTCCTGTGATGACATGGCGTTCACGACTTGGTACCAGAATCTGACAGATCTGTACGGAAAATGTAACGGTACTAATCTAAGTCATATGTTACATCAGCTCCCAAGCAAATGCCCCGTGTCTTGAATTGTCACTAGCAGTCTGTCACATAAACTGTCGGTCTGTCTGTTTCCTTTTTTCCTTTCTCTCTCTCTCTATCTAACACTCTCTATCTAACACTCTCTTTCTCTCCCTCCTTCCCTCTCCGCCCCTCTCTCTCTCTCTCCCTCTCTCTCTGTTTCTCTCTCTCTCTCTCTCTCTCTCTCTCTCT